TAAATAAAATAATGTATTTTTCATAAATATCAGCACAATTTAAATATGTTACAATTAAAAGTTTTAATATAGATAATAAAATTCATGATTTAATTTTTTATTAAAAAAATGCAATAAAATTCTCCATGCGTAGTGATGAGACCCGACCCACGGAGAAGGAGAGTGGGAGAAATCCAGTCCAACAGCCCAATAATGATCTTGCTTTGTGCTGGGCTGCACTGCATTTATAATAAATAGTGTGGGAGAAATATATTCAATCCGTACTAAACGAGTAGTTAAGCATGAATACCAAATCAATCAAAGCATTCAGTTTATGGATGGGACGTGACTATTGGAATACACCGAATAACTTTATTTTTTAAAATACAATTAGGTTTACATCGACATATATATATATATATAATTGATATTGGGTCGGGTCATATACATAAATATATGTAATCCCCTCAAACTCAAGATAAGAGTGTGTAAACCAGCTTAAGTTTGCTCAAGAACGAATGAAAGCGGCCGGGTAAATGAGGCTTGGTGAAGCCATCAGCAGTCTTATCAGCAGAATAAGTGGGGGACAAGAAGACGTTGCCGTTAGTAACGTAATGACAGACAAGGTGACAGTCGATCTCAATGTGTTTCGTACGCTCGTGAAACATATCATTCATCAAAATCTTTATGGCACTCTGACTATCACAATGAATAGTAGTAGAAGAGGGTTGAGAAACATTGAGATCAGCTAGTAACCATCGAAGCCATAGAAGCTCGGCAGTGGTATCGGCAAGAGCTCTATGCTCAAACTCCACACTGGACCGGGAGACGACCGTATGTTTCTTGTTGCGCCAAGAAATAAACAAATCACCAAGAAAGAAGCAAAAATCAATAGTCGAGCGACGATTGGTGGGATCTCCCACCCAATCAACATCAGAGTACCTGGTTAAAACCAAGGACGAGCGAGCTGAATAATGGAGACCATGGAGAATAGTTCCTTGATGTACCAAAGAATCCGTAGAACAAAAAAATAATGAGTCGTCCGAGGAGCGAACATAAACTTACTGACGATATGAACAACATAGGCAATGTAAAGTCGAGCAACTGTCAGATATATCAGGCTTCCCACCAGCTGACGACATAAGGTAGGGTCGTCAAGAGGGGCGCCATCCATCGGAGTAAGGCGACAGTCAGACTCAAGAGGCATAGTTGAGGTCTTAGAATCTCTAGACAGAAGGTCGGAGGCATACTTGGCTTAAAAGAGATAGTATCCGTCCAAGCTGTCGGAGATTTCAAGACCGAGAAAGTACCGAAGAGGCTCCAAGTCTTCATTTCAAAGTGGCTACGTAGATGATCCTATAGCTTAGAGATGTCGGACTGATCATCTCCCGTGATGATCATGTCATCCACATAAAGTAACAGAATAGTAACACCAGCTGACCCGCGTCGAATGAATAAAGCAGATTCATGATAGCTGGAAGTAAATCCAAGCTGGAGCAGAGCAGAGCTAAATTTCAAAAATCAAGCTCGAGGTGTCTGTTTCAAACCGTAAAGAGCACGATGAAGTTTACATACCTTGGAGGACGTGGGAAAACCAGGAGGAGGAGACATGTAGATGTCCTCGGATATATCACAATGCAAGAACACATTCTTGACATCAAGCTGATGTAGGGGCCACTAACGAGTGACAGCGATAGCTATAAGACAACGGACGGAGGTGAGACGAGCAACTGGAGCAAAGGTCTCTTCATATTCAATACCCACTTACAGCCGATAGGTTTCTTGCCTTAAGGAAGATCAACCATATTCCACGTATAGGTTTTCTTCAAAGCCTGTAACTCCTTAGACATAGCCTTCCACCACAACGGGTCCGCATACGCCTCACGAAAGGACTTGGTCTCATGGTGGGAAAAATTGGCAGAGAAGCAGTAATAATCGAGTAAGTGAGTAAAGAGATGACTAACCCGAGTGGAACAGCGAGGGCCAGGATCAGGGTCCGTGGTCGAAGTAGTGTCCTCTGGTAGTGGTGAGGGATCAGAGTCGGGAGTAGTGGTAGGCTTGGGGATCAGTGTCAGTTCATGAGGCGCAACCGGGACAACATCAGGAGCAGGGGGACGGAGCCACGTCATTGGAAGGAAATAGAGATAGAGATGACAAAGTAAATAATGGAGACTAATGATCAAAGGGGACTCTAAAGTGGGACAAGGTAGAGACCTTAGTATTCTCCCAGAATGTGACATGACGAGAAGTACGTAGCCTATTGGAAATAGGATCCCAACAACGATAACCCTTATGCTCTAACCCGTATCCCAGGAAGCAACACAGACGCGCGCGAGGTTCTAACTTAGTGCGCTAATGAGGAGGGAGGATGACAAAACTGACACAACCAAAATGGCGGAGAAAACTATAATCAGGGGCTCGATTAAATAGTCTTTCAAATGGCTGACATTAACCATGACAGAGGAAGGGTGCTGACTATATCGAGGATATGATGGTGTTTACGTTCGGCGCAACCATTTTGTGAAGAGATGTACAGGCAAGAGCGATGGACAACAATACCCTGATCAGATAGGAAACAAGAAGGGAATAAATAATACTCGAGGGCATTATCTGTGCGGAGACTTTTATGGTGGAGGAAAATTGGATATGTATCATTTTAGCAAAGTCCATATAAATAGATGAGAGTTCAGAACATGGTCGCATGAAGTAAATCCATGTAAAGCGAGAATAGTCATCGATAAAAAGCACAAAAATAACAAGAATCATTGATAGAGACAGCGGTTGAAAGTCCCCAAGTATCAGAGTGAACTAATGAAAACGGTGTATCTATAACATAAGTACTATGAGGGAATGACAAAACAGGTTGTTTCCGCAACGAACAATCCACACAATTAAAAGACTCAAAACTAACAGAACCCAAAGGACCCTGACTAATAAAATACATGAGTTTATTGGATGACGCATGACTGAGACGATAATGCCACTAAAGGCACGATGGAGTAGAGGTAGTGGCAGCAGAAATAGAGGGACGAGGGAGCTGAAATAACTCAAGCTCAAATAAGCGGCCCGTCTTCCGGCCCTTCCCGAGGGTCCTCCTGGTTTGCGCATCCTGAACTTGCACACCAGAAGAAAAGAAGATCACTGTGAGACCTTAATCAACTAATTGACCAATTCAGATCAGATTCAAGGTTAATTGGGGAATACAATAGATGTCAGGGAGGGATAAGGACGAGGTGGATGTATGTCCAATATGGGTGATGCGCATATGGGTACCATTTGCGGTAAGGATAGGGGGTAAGAATGACGTGGTGGATGTAGAGGTCATAAGGCATATATCAGAGGTCATATGATTACTACAGGAAGAATCAAAATACCAAGGAGAGTTATCTGATGTGGTAGACATGGTGGTATTAGAAGATAGAACTTGTTTAAGAAGAGCCTCCAAGTCCTAAATCGTAGGAGGCGCACGCGCAGGCGTGGCAGAAGCTATGACAAAAGGGGTACTAGACTGAGGAGGTCCACGAACATGCTGAGGCTTGGAATTATTGTTGTCAGAACGAGAGGGCCTAGTAGGACAATATTGTATAGTATGACCCAAAACATGACAGTAGTGGCACTCCACTTTGGGGCAGTGACCGAGTCGTGATCAGAAGACTGACATCGTTTGCAGTGGAGTTGACGAGTATGAGCAGGGGTTCGGGCTGTGACTGCAAGAGCATAATCAAGCGAATGAGCCTTGGCTAAGTGGAGACGAGTTTCCTAAAAAAGAATCTCTTGAATAACTGCATCCAATGTATGAAGTGGGTGCCGATGTAACAAGGAGGCACGAACTGCTTCATACTTTAGACGCAAAGCCATCAAAACCTGAATGAGGCGAAGATGATCAGGATTGATCTCAGCCTGATCCAACCGATGCCTGCGCAAGAAAGTTGTTTACAGATTGACCTGGTTCCTGATTTAAATAATGGAGTGTACTCCATAGCTGATAATAGTGCACCAAATCAGTAGACGGAAGTGGACTGCCAAGAAATCCTACATTGCCTTAGCAGTTTCAAATTGGCAAGTTGCATATGTATCGCCGGAGTGGAAGTATTGCGCAACCAGGTAAAATCTGATGGTTCTTACTATCCCAGTCCTCCAATTTTTCAATATATGATTCAACAGCTTTAGCGGTAGGCGCAATTTCTCCTATAGAAACCGGAGCAACATGAGCAACTATATCCCCTGTAACAATCCGCCATAACTTCCTGCCTACCAAGAAGCTTTTCATTGATTGTGCCCACAAACCGTAATTATCTACGAACATGACAACACTTATTGGTATATGAACATCCATCTTTTCCATAAAGAAAATTTCGAGAGTAGACAATATCTCAAGCTGAAAATCGAAACAACAGAGGCATAGACAAAATCGAATCGAACCCGGAACACGAAAAATCAGACTGACACGGAAAACTGCTCAAACAGAAAAAAGTGAATATACCATCGCGGAGGAAATTAAATTCTGAGCACGCCGGTGCAAAAATCTCCGGCAACCGACGCCGCACGCGCCTCGACGCGCCGGTGAGGCGTCCGGCCAGAATCTTCGTCAGGCGCGTGTGTGTCTCACGTGGCGCCGTTGGCCGAGCTTTTTTGGATTCCGGCCGGTCTCGTTGGCTGAGATGCGCGACTTGTTTCGATTTGTTCGAAAAAAATCATGGCTCTGATACCATGTTGGAATAAACGAAATTACTTTATTTCTTAAAATACAAATCGAGTTACATCGACATACGTATAGAATTGATATTGGCCGGCCATATACATAAATATATATATCAACAGTGATATTATTGAGATGCCTTGGACACTTGAATTCATATTCATATTGAAACACGACACTGACATTCATGGTTGTCCGATCCCGTGGCCCTGAAAGAGTGAGTGAGCGACTGAACTGAACCCGGCATGGCATGACATGACATGCATGCATGCATCTCCTTACCTGATCTACTTTAAGGCATGCAATGCAGTCAAGTAATTCATATGCATAGATCGATCCTGGATCCTGTATGTATGTATTCTTTCATTAGTAGTACTAGTAGTATTATTCATGCACAACAGCTAACAAACAGATATCAATTCATTCATTCATTAATGCAGAAACACTCGACTCGAGCAAAGCTAGCAAGCATTGTCTCTTTGCTAGCTAGCTAGCTAGCTGCTGGAGGTACTGTTAGATGAATCCGTAAAGAACACTATTGGGTGTTCCTTATTCTTGGTCTCGGCTTCTTCTTCTTCTTCTTCTTCGTCGGCACTCTGAATAAAGACTTGGAGCGCTCGAGGGATTGGCGGCACATTGACGCCCACAAGGCCTTCCAGAATCTGAACCACCTGACTCATGGACGGCCGACTGCTCTCATCATCCTGGATGCACCAACACGCTACTCTCAACATCTTCCCAACCTCTTCTTCCGCAATCTCCATCTCCATCTCCATATTCTCCGTCATCCTCCTATCCACCAGCCCAACTACATCCCCTCCATCCCTCATCACCCTTGCAGCTTGTGACGGGAAGAATTTCATTCTCCCATCCTCAGACCCCTCCGAGTTTCGCCTCCCCGACACCAACTCAAACACCATCATTCCATAGCTATAAACATCTGCTTTCGCTGTTATGGCTACCCCCGATATCCATTCCGGCGCAAGGTATCCCCTTGTTCCTCTCATTGTTGTCAATACACGGCTGAAATCACGCCCCACCAATTTCGCCAATCCAAAATCTGCCACTTTGGGGCACAACTCCGCGTCCAGTAATATGTTCTCCGGCTTTATATCACAATGGATGATGCAGTCCCTGCACTTGTCGTGCAGATACACCAGCCCCCTAGCTACTCCTAATGCAATATTATACCGACTCTTCCACCCCAACACCTTCTTCTTAGAGTTAGAACAAGATTCATTGCTGGAATTGAAAAGATGCGAATCCAATGAGCCGTTCTCCATGTAATCATACACCAGCAACTTGTTATTGCCTTCAGAGCAGAACCCGCGAAGCCTCACAAGATTCACATGTTGGATTGTCCCGATTGTGCTCACTTCTGTCCTGAACTGCTTCTCCCCCTGGCTTATGCTTTCGAGCTTCTTCACAGCGATGATAGTCGAATCTGGTAAAGTCCCCTTGAATACAGACCCAAATCCTCCTCCGCCAAGCTTATCCGAGAAATTCTTGGTGACATTCTGCAAATCTTTGTATCCAAATGCCAGCAGCGAACCCTCGGCACCTTTCAAGCTTCCAATGGTTGGCTTCCTTGTACGCCTCCAGAATACCGCCATTAGGATTGCAGCCACAACCAATATGGCAACAACAGCACCCAAGATAGAGCCGATCATGAGACCCTTATGATCGTCCTTGCCAGCTGCAGCAAACTCGGGTGAAGAGGCAGAAAGTCTGAGATATATTGTTTTCCCATTACTATCTCCTTCATTATATTGCTGCAGATTAATCAATTCTCCATGCCAAACAAAGCAAGCATTTCCATTTCCATTTCCATCATAGGCGTAGGCCGTGCAGGAGCAATTATTCAAGCAACTCAACTGACATTCAGCCGAGTCCGCAACTGGCAGCGACTGTTGTCCGATCACAGGATGGCTCACGTAAGACCGCATCAGAAACTTATCTTTACTGCTACTACTACCATTAGCATAATTACAATCCAAAGCCATCTCTCGCGCACAACCACCCGAAAAGTCATTCAAATCCCAGTCATTGGGAGAATTAGGCCTAAACCCTGGTAGACATTTGCAGAAGGGCATGTTCTGATTGCAGGAGCCGAATGCTCCACAATACGAATAAACCTCACACTGCTGCCTCGGCTGAGACCAAAACAGATTCCAATCCGAGTTGGTCCACGAGGTCTGCCGAATCTGCCCCGAGATATCCATAACGAATCTTGATATGATGGATGGATTGTAGAGGGAATATGTGAAGTAGCTCTCCTCGGTATCATTAATATAGCTAAAATCATAGATGTAATTCAACCTCATTTCGGGGACGCCGCTGAAAATTTGACCATTCCAAGGGCCACTGCTCCAGTACTCCTCGCTCCGATTCCACCGTATGATATACTGTCTCTGAACGGGATCCAGCTCAAGGGAATACAGACCCGGTGCGGGATCTTGGGAATTCTTCCAAGAAATTAAAAGCTGCGATTTATTCCTCGTTTTATCATAAGCGAGCTTCCCCCCGGGCAGCCATGTATCTGCTATGTTATTAAAGCTTTCCCACAAAAAGCTAGAATTCGATTTTGACCCCACATCATCCCTCCTCCTCAAAACCAAGTTACCGTTGTCAAGGAGCACTGCTACCACGCTAGAAGAACTAGTACTAGTATTACTGGTGGAACTCAAGGAAGTGGACCAAACCTGGGATCCGGCCTCGTTGAGCAGCACCAAGTTGCCGTCTAAAATCCTGAGGTGGCTTGAATTCTTGTCGAGGACAGGGGTTTCTCTGTTGGCCACCCAGACAATAGTTGGCTTCTCCACTTTTTTGTACCATATGCCTATATAGTACCTTGAAGAATTGCCCGGATGGAAGAATCCAAGCACGAAGTTTTCGCCGGAAGAAACGATAGTTTGATCCCCGGAAAGAGTCTGGTTTCCTGAGATGGAGTCTGCGGCGTCGGCGAGAGAAGAATAAATGGGAAAGTAGAAGAAGAAGAAGAAGAAGGGACACAGGAAGAGGGGCTGAATAATCATCATCGTACACCACCGCCAGCAGAAGCACAAGGGTTTGTGATGAGGAGGAGGAGGAGGAGGATCATGCGATGTGAGGCAGAGGAGAGAGGGAGGCGATTCTGGTCTGGCAATGTGAATGTGACGCGAGTCGAGTGAGGACAGGATGGGGAGTCCAAGGAAGATGTAAAATGTTGTTTCCTGTTGGCGTTACTCACTCACGCTCGCAGTTACCATTTTGTCCTTCTGAGACTCATGGAAGAGGAGAGGAAAGGGAGATTCACAAAATTTTTAGTTGAACTCACCTGTCTGTATTATGTTATTTACAACTTGCAATAATGTGAAGACAGACAGGTTGATAGTCAATCTTCTGGATACGTTCGATATTTCTTTGTGTCATTTTACAAGTCTGAATAATAATAATAATAATAATCAAAGGCTGATTGGTTGGTCAGAGATGGAAGGATGCACACGTTACAACGACCATTTCAAATATCCAATGACGCGTTCCATAGTATTTGCATACATTGTAACAACAACAACTTATAATTGACTAATCCGCTCCCTCCAACAACATACCAAGAAAACAGATAGTGGAAGAATATAGTGGAGCTTGAGAATGTGACTCATTATTAGTGGAGCTTGAGAATGTGAGTCATTATTCATCGCAGGCTATCAAAATATGTACAATTAATTGCATCTAATAATTAGCTTTCGTAGTTTCTTTAATTATTATTATTATTTTTTTATAACGGTCTTTTCTTTTTATTATTATTATTATTATTATTATTATTATTATTAGATATGGAGATAGATAAAGCAAAAATAGAAATAATTAAAATTTGTTATATAATATATAGTAATATAATATTGTTGATGCAAATTTTCAACAATAAAAAGTAAAATTCGAAAATAGAAATTATCTTCAAATTTGATAAAATAAATGCCTGAAATTAAGAGTCTCTAGACACCATACGATATATAAGCAAACTAGAAAATAAATACTACAGACTGAAAAGTAAATGGTGATCCCCAAAAGCAATTCACTGAATTTGATGTCGATTGAAGATGTTTTTCCAGAATAGATCCAGATCTTTAAATAGTCTCTAAAGAAAACGTTTTGGAACCGTCGTCATTTGGGTTACAGTAACCGCCGTCAACCGCCCACTAATTCCTCCTCCATTGATACGTGTTTTAACTGTTTCACCAACCGCTCCCACCAGTTACAGAACCCAACTAGCTCCACCGACCGCCTCTGGGCACCTTACCTCTTTAAATGGACGGCTGGTCCCGAACGACTACTCAACCGCCCAACATACTTTAGACAGACTGTAGGCCGACCGATTGAAGATGGTTTTCTTTAGTTCATGATTAGACCTATTTAAAACCTATGTCAACCGCCACAACCAGGTCGGCCTTCATATCCGCTCGCCGATTGTAACTTCTCTCAACCGTCTTTTCAGACGGATCATATATCACCATCTGACTGAGAAACCGTCTGGACCATCCACCGACTGAACCTACCGAATAACCCAACATTTGACCAACCGACCAATCCAGATACTAATTGATTGCTAGACCAAACAACTAATCAGTTTCCCACTCGAGCGACCACCATTCAGTCTCTTCAAACAGCTGAACAACCATTCAAGCAACCACCATCCATTCCCTTCAATTGGCTGAATAACCATTCGTCCAGATGATTCATTGGTCGCCCAATTAAGCGACCACCATCTAGTCCCTTCAATCGGCTGAACAACCATTCGTCCAGACGATTCATTGGTCGTCCAATCAAGGGACTGAACTACTGTTTGACCAAGTGACCGGCCAATCGATCAGGTGATTAACAGGTCGCTTAATTAAGCGACCAATTAACAGACCTTTCTTTCAAATGGGCCCCTAAAGGCCCATTTTCCTCTTGTCCGACCTCTGTGTCTGTCATCTCGTCTTTCTTCGCCCGACCTTCATTTTGACCAACCTCCGTATCTGCCATCTCATCCTTTTTCGCCCGCCTTATACTTTGTCCGACCTTTGTATCGGTTGTCTCATTTTTTGTCTGACTTCCCTTTGCCCGACCTATATGCCACCCGACCTGAGTGCATATTTTTTTCCTTTCTTCGTCCGTCCTCTTCTTGTCCGACCTCTTAATCACAGGTTTCTCCCGAAGAAACCCATCTCTTAATAACGCTTGGACCTATATTTGGACCCATTTTTAAGGTCCTACTACTATTAACAGGCCCATTCGACTCTACACCAATCCTTAGTCCAATTTATAGGCCCATTCTCGAAAACCCTACACACTGATTTTTTCTCGCTTAAGAAATATAATTCGTAAGTATATATATATACACTAGCTCGTATGTGCGCGCCAGTTTTTTGTTCTAGTAGAACATTTTTTGTGATTTATTTTTTCTGATATTTTGCATCGCCGAAGTTTGCTGATTGTTCAATTGTTGAACATAAGCCAACCAATCGGTAGGTGGTTGGGGAATTTCCCCTGGATTTGGCATGACGGGTGGTGAAACATTTTCTCTTGTCGGTGCTGATGATGATTGAGGTTGTGAGCCTGCCATACTGATTTTTCTGATGATTCAGCCAGACCTCAGTTGTATGAAATTCTCTGTTGATGTAGGATCAGCAATCTTGCATTTCTCCCACTGTGGTCGCCAATTTGTTAATGTATTTTTTCAACAATAAAAAGTAAAATCCGAAAATAGGGAGTTATCTCTGAATTTGATATATTTAGTGTCTGAGATTAGGAATCTCTAAACACTATACGGTACAGAAAAATAAACTGAAAAGTAAAATACTGGAAATTTAAATGATGATCCCCGAATCACTGACTTTGTTGTCGTTTGAAGATGATTGAAGATCCTTTGTCAGTTGCAAATCTTAATCCTTAAATACTCTTCAGAAACGGTACTGGAAACCGTCATCCGAACGGTTATAACGCCATTTTTTCAACTGTCTGCTAACTCTTCTTCTGCTGACACGTGCCCTCAGCCGACCGAATTATCACTCTCAGTTGCTCTCAACAGTATCCGACCTCCATACCAACCGTCATCCGAACGGTTATAACGCCATTTTTTCAACCGTTTGCTAACTCTTCTTCTGCTGAAACGTTCCCTCAGCCGACCGAATTATCACTCTCACTTGCTCTCAACAGTATCCGACCTCCATACCAACCGATCTGCCTATCCAACCACGAATCTGCCGACTTTTTGGACCGACCGCAGACCTTCCGCCTTTTTGGTCCGACCGCAGCTCTTCCGCCTTGTTAGTCCGACCGCAAACCTTCCGCCCTTATTGGACCGATCGCAGACCTTCCGCCTTGCTGGTTCGACCGCAAACCTTCCGACTTATTGGTCTAGCCGCAAACCTCCCGACTTACAAATCATCCGACTTACTGGTCCAGCCGCAAACCTTTCGACTTACAGACCATCCGACTTGCTAGTTCAGCCGCAAACCTCCTGACTTACAGACCATCCGACTCGCTGGTCCAGCCGCAAATCTTCCGACTTACAGACCATCCGACCCGCAAACTGTCTGACCCGTGGACCTTCCTATCTGTGGACCTTTCGACCCGCGGACCTTCCGACCTGAGGATCTTCCGACCTGAGGACCTTTCGACCTGCTATTCCATTAGATACGTCTATTTCACCTGATTTTCTCGCAACGCCCCTTGATCAGTCCAACAAACCCAATCGTTGGCCCATTTTTTCCTTTTAACTTGGGCTTTTTAACCTAATATAAATTTCATACGTAACAACTTGTCCGCCGCCATTGGACTTTCAAACGTCATTCCTCCATCGCCGTTTGGAAGTTCGTAAATCACAACCTTACCAAGGAACTGTCTCTGCAACTGCAACTAGTTACTGCAACATTGTGTGCCACAAAACTCTTCCTTCTTCAATTTGGCCTTTGTCAATCTCAATCTCTGCGACCCCAAACCATGGCAAATCAATACATTCCTGCACTTCCTTTCGACGGATCAATCCCTGAAACGACTTTCGTGGAGACAAAAATGCTCACTCCAACCATTCAACCATACTGCACTACTCCTGAAGATTCCAATCGAATGAGAGAAGTCCTGGAGGCAAAGAATCTACTGGCTATCAATAATCCCAACTACAATGCTACCCGTCTCCATGATAACATCAAAACTCATCTGACGGACCCCAAAGATCCCTACCGCACCTGGTACAAAAGGGTAGCAGAACATTTCAGGATCAATGGAAAAATCAACAAATCGACCAGACCATATTTCTGTCTACACTCCCATGGCAGCGATCTGGCACCCTAAGGTATGCGCCTTCTTTCTTCCAACAGCCCCATCAGCCCGACACTCATGGATGTGGCCATGATCGCACATCTGCCCATTGTGGGAGAAGACCCTGTAATGGGTGCCCTAGATGGGCAAGAGCCCACTGCGGACCATTTGGGCTGGTCGCTGGCTGGCATTAAGGAATAAGGTTGGACTAAATTTTTAAACGACCAGCAAGGAGCAGACGGGACCCCTGTGACCGACTGAGAGCATACAGCCTTCCTGCTCTTTTGGCTCTGTAAGTACGTTGTAGTTTCCCCTTCGAAATGTGTTCTCCCTTCTCACCTTGATCTAGCCATACATATAGCTTCGGGTCATTTCTTTTCATTGGGCACCCTCTTCCTTGCCAATCTTTTTGAAGGACTGTCCAGGGTTAGCACCCGTCTTACAGATAAGGATGGTAAAAAACTAGATACTGCTGCATCAGGCCCTTTTTGGTTTTTAGAATTGTGGTTCCGTCTTTATTTCCCTGAAACGTTTCAATTTGGCCACCCTCCTGTTGTGCCACCACCTGACAAATATCTAGGAATAGCCCTTAACCGACTTTGTTTAGGTCGCAACAACCTCCAAGCGTCTGACCCTATCATAACTGCCATTCTTGCCGATTATTGTAATAACTCCCATTTTTACATACATAGAAGGTATATTGTTTATGCATCTGGCCTGTTTTGGCCATTCCCTGTATCTTTACCTTTGTCCGAACCAGACCCACTTCCTCATCTCACTTACTCCTTCTCCTGGGATGCTGCTCTTAAGCCCAGGTCCTTATTTTTCAGTAAGAAAATCGATAAGAAGGGTCACAAAGTGTTTTATACCTTCAGCTATCAACCTCAGTTTTTGGCACACCAATTCGGATGCTAACAAGGCTTGCCTGGTCCCATTGTCCATCCCCATTTAATAATTCAAAGTCTGGATGGAAGAGTTATTCCTGAATTGATCGCTCTTTATGTATCCCAACTTGTCAGTTATATAACTTCCAACTCTTACATTCCTTTCCGGACCTCTCCAGCTTCAGCCG